CTCTCTCTCTCTCTCTCTCACAAACAGAACACCCAACCCCCCCCTCTAAACAGAGCCCAGAAGGCCGGATTGCGACTTTGGTAGGGGTAGCCCCCCAAAATAAAACACCCTTCCCACCCTTCCCCCCTCCCCCCTCTCCGCCCCCCTCCCCCCCCTGGTGAGGTGACGGGTTTAGGATTTTTGGGGAGAGTTTTTTCTGGTGTTAAGGGTCGTTTAGGATATGTTGCTAGGGTTTCTTGGGTGTTAAGACTGTTAAGAGTCAAGGGTTTCGGACTTTGTGGTCGGGTGTTTTTTGCGTTTGGAGTTTTGACCCAGAAAGTTGCCAACACCCACCGACCCAAACCGCATGCCGCGCCACTTCTGGCCCAGTTCTGGAGAATGGTCAATGATGTGTTCCACATGTTTGTTCCGGTACTCTGTTAACTGTTAATGGTAGCCTGGTAGCCCTAGCCCACTCCAAGACGATAGACCCATACCCCGAGCCACCCCCACCCCCAGCATAGCCAAAGCCATAAACCTCCACCCTTAAAGCCTTGGTCTTGGATCATGTGTCCTATCAGGAGCCCGTCAACATGTTCGAGAAGCTGGATGCCTGGCTTGCCAGCAATGAAAAGTGGGAGAAGCCGCACATCCTGGAGGCCCAAGACATCCTTGATCAGGCGAAGGCGAATGAGACGCTGTCTGGCACTTTCCAGAAGTGGCTGGCCACGTATACGAACCAAGAGATCAGCATCAAAGAGAGAGCCGTGGCAGCTCCGATGAGCAGCTCCATGGGAAACGAGGTGATGCTGAAGATGTTCATGGACCCTGTGGACAAGTGCTCAATTCACATGGTGCGCCAGAAGGATTTGGCAGACGCGAGCCGCTCCAGGGCATTGTTGGGTGCCGTGTCGTTGCTTTGCGGCCGCAATAAATCAACAAGCTATATCCCCTAGTAAGCATGCGTGCTGAATTTGGGTCAGATATGTTTCCAGATGAACACAAACACGCATCCCCTTCTCTATCTGTCTGTGTCTGTCCACATGTCACTCTGTATTACTCTGTATGTCACTGTATGTGTATGTCTTTCTAAGTGTCTGTCTGTTTGGCATTTCCGGTCCCCCACTACAGGCAGAAGAAAACACTGTGTGTGTCCCTGTCCCCTTGCCTTCAGCTTCCGAGTCTGTCTGTGTCGTTGCTTTTGTTTCTTGTGTGTGTGTGTGTGTCCGTACTCTGTACTTGTCTGTGTCCGTCTATCTCTCTCTCTGTCTCTCTGTTTGTGTTTGTGCCTTGTGTTTGTGAATGTTTGTGACGGTTT